CTAGCAACGAATTTGAGCGCCAGGTCGTAGTCTTCGAACATCTTGAAACGCGCACCATCCGCTTTAAACTCTTTCACAATCTTTAGTGCCTCGTTTAACGTATCACATATCTTTGAATCACTATCATCATTGCTGCAACCATCTTCAGGACCAGCAGCCAACTGCTTGTTCCTTGGAACGTAAACCGCGTAATACATTATTACCGATGTTGAATGCAGGAAGTTGATCGGAAACAGGCAACGTGTTTATTGCCGTGACAAATAATAAATAACAACAAACACCCCAAAAGCAAACGAAATTAAATAACACATAAAGCTGCAACCGCCTGATTTGTTAATTAAACCAAGCCGCCGCATTGTAGATCCGAGTACATTACGGTTAACATCAAATTCCGTCTCCATGCTATCAAGTTCTTTGTTCTGACGACGAACTTCATCGCCGATATCGATCGTCAACTAAAAACGAGAAAAAATATTAACAAAACTATTTAGCGTATGCACATCGTGGGAATTAAGTTATCGACGTTTTAGGTAGTGCATACACACGGATCACTTGGACAGGAAGATGATCACAAGTGATAGGAATACTCCAATAGCCTGAAACGGTCTTAATAGGATGCATACCGATCAGGTGACATATGAAGGGATTAAGACAAGCAGCGAATATCAACTTAAAATCTGCCAGGTACACAGCTACAGCAGAAAAAGCTACCAAGGTATTCTAGTGAAAAAAAAACAACAGTAAATAAACGGACTCTAATTATATCACATGCAACTTGATGAAGATATTCTGCCTCTCGCAAGTTCTCAGAAATACAAAGGAATTAAATAACGTCAAGGTCAAAGCGGGCTTTAAGAGGAATCTGAAACGTGTTCAATTTATGTTCAAAAAAATCAGTGATCATAAACGAGCCACCATGGGCGCAATGACATTTCACTCTAAACTTGGCAGAGCCTTGTATCTGTGATTTTACTGAAGTAGTCAACAGGATGTCACCAGGATTCAAACCAGAGGATAAAAGAAAGAATAAAAATCTAAAGTAGCCATCAAAAGATAAGAAAAGCATGCATTATGATATAACAGAGAAGCATAGTAAAGCTAATTAAAACGCGTTACTTATAAATATCATATGACCAGTTGGATTCTGATTCGGGAAAATACGTTAATTTCTTAACTGTTTTGCCGAAAAAACGGAGATGATTCCATCATACAGCGGAATGAAGATAAAGTGATAAAAATGAACCGACACGACATGATCTTAAAGGTCAAAGATCCAGTAGAATATACCATCTCAATGGTATTCAGAAGAAAAGTGTGAAACTCTGAAACAGGCCTCAAACGAAGCTTTATTAAAAGTTTCTCAAGCAACATACCCGCCGAATGTCATCTCACTTATCATAAAAAAATAAAATTCATTACGGATCGGTAGAACGAGTAAAAGTAATATGCACAAGTGCAAAAGAATAATCATATAAAAGTGCTCGACAGAGGCTGGTTAAGACTTAGGTTATCTTCTGCCGAAGCTCAAACCAGACACGGGATCGGGAAAGTTGAAGACACTGTTTGATGCGTTTGTCTCCACGGCCAGAAAGGAAAGCGGCTATCGAAACTGACTGAAGACTGACACTGATCGAAAGCAAGCTCTGTTGGTTAGTAAAGAAAATTTTGACGAATGCGTTGGTACTGTGGTTCACGCACAAATACTAGGCGGAGAAAATATAGAAAAGATGACGCGATATGGTAAAGGACGACGCACAGCATCGAGAAGTGACCGAAGATTCGAAAAATACCGAACCCGATAGGGCAGTTAACCGTAACAGCGGATCCCTGTTAAAAGAAACACGCCATGGAAAAGACAACGAATAAAATATCATCAATCTTGAATACTAATATAGCGTAAATAGCTACGCTGGTCACATTAAGATAGTGTCATTTGGCAGACTGGTTTCTGAAAATAATAGCTGAAACTCTAGATAACTATCGAGGGTTGAGGATTATTTACTTATAATTTACTAAGTCAGAAAATGATCACTGGAGTATTGCATGAGTGATACAATGCTGTCCTTGGCATCCTTGGCAGGAATTGTTTTGCCCTTCGGATGACATACGAAAACCACGGAGGGAAGATATTAAACTCGCAACGACTATGAGTAGGTAAAATGATATGGCATACATCACAGAAAACAATCTGTTGACGATGAGAAATATGACCTTTGAAAATGCAGTGAAAGTTGCTCAATATCAATCTGAGATCATCATCATCATCATCATCTTCCATCGCCGCTTCTCCTTTCGGGTCGCTGAGGCAGACGCGTCAGACA